GGGAAGGTGGTATTGGTGAAATACCTGTACTCTACTGACTTTGGGAGATGGAGATGCACTTTGACCTCTAAGAGGAGTGGGCCAGCAAAGTATTCCACTGGCCTGCTCTCCAACTTGGAAATAAACTTTCTAAAGACATTATTTGCTTTGCTTTGCACCTAATGTAACTTTTCCGAGTAGGAGAGATTCTACTTTCATTTCTCTTATTGGTAATAGTGGAATTAGTAACCCTTTGTTAGAAGAGGCATATTCAATATATTTTTGTTTCAATTTTGGTTCCCCTTGATGGTGGTTAGCTTGATATTTGCAGCTTTTTCCTGAGGAGACTAGAAAAAGCAATTTAAACTGCTTTTCTTTGATTTGGTTTAGAACTACGTGTGAGATTTCCAAGTGGAAAATGAATGCCAACCTAACAAGTTTTTATTTCACATAATTCAAAATGTTGTCTCAGATACTGATCTAAAATCAGTTTGTGTTCTGGATATTTTCTTATCACACTATTTTAATATTTACACTCATCCTCTCATCCATTCATTCCTTCAAAAGCTTTTTAAAAAGCGTCGCTGTGTGCCAGACACCACAGCAGCAGCAGGTCACACCACACTGACCCAATCCAGCAGTTCTCAACCCCTCGGCCCAGCCCTCCCTCACCAAAACAACTCTGGAATGATGCTTTCACTGCCCTGAAATGAAGTTCACAGATAGTAAATCCTACTTACACGAGTAATTTCAAAACAAACCGACATAAATCCTGAACTGTAATATAAAAGAGGGGGCTGCTTTATAATAAGTTGATGAGTATTTTAGCCAGCCAGCACTCAGGCACAATTGCAGGAGGTGATATCATGAGGTCCCCAAGCACTCTCACCACCTTGTTCTGAACAAATACCAACTGAGGAGAAGTCAGAGCATGAGTTGATCTGTAGCAAAGATCAGGAATTTGGAAGAGTAGAGGCACAGGTGGTTGCTGGACTAAAAACCACTGTGTTCAGAGCACATAACACCTGAGAGGGAAAGGTGCTTTATGTTAATAGGCACAACACAGTTTGGTTCCCAGTTCAATCAACAAGATTTTCTAAAGCAGATTGAGGATTTCATTTGCCCCCGAAGACTACCCAGTGGGATGGCATGCTGGTAGTATTATCCTCATTTATCAGTGTAGGAACTGAGGTTTTTCCTCTTGAGCACCCAGCTAAACTCCACTTTCCAGCTCCTTTAGAGTTTGGTTGAGTCCATGTGACTGAGTCCTGGGCCTGGTCCCCAGCAGCCTGCGCCCCATCCCTGTGAAGTCACCCATTCTCTCTTCCCTTTCTACAGTGGTCCCTAGAGTCATGAGGTGAAGATGGGGGAACCACAAGACAGAATGAGCCCTGGCCTCTGCAGAACTGAGTGGAGCAACTACCCCCTACCCTGGTGCACAACTGCATTTGAATGTCATAGAACGATGCGGTGGATTCGTATTGAGTTAAACCATGAATATTTAGGGATTTATTTATCACAAGAGCAAGAATTTCTTTAACTAATGCATCCAAGGGTTCCCTGTCTATGATTTTAAACAATACCCTGACAAAGCAATATGTAACTTTTAATCATTCAGTGAGAAAGTTGTTCCCTTTAGAGTGCTGTGGCACCCAAGAGAGATTGGGTAGAAAGGATGCGTTTACTAAGCAACAAATATTGTGAATAGACATACAAAGAAGAAATACAAATGGCCAACAAGCACATGAGAAGACGCTTAACATTAGCAGTCACTAAAGAAATGCAAATCAAAACCACAATGAGATACTACTTCACACACACTAGGATAGATACAAAAACAAAAACATAAAGTAACAAGTGTTGGCAATGGTGTGGGGAAATTGGACCCCTGTACATTGTTGGTGGGGAACGTAAAATGGCACATCTGCTATGGAAAACAGTTGGTCAGTTCCTCAAAAAGTTAAACATAGAATTACCGTATAACCCAGTAATTACACTCTTAAGTGTAACCTGAAAGAAATGAAAACAGGTACCCAAACACATACTTGTGCAAGAATGTTTATAGCAGCACTATTCACAAAAACAGAAAGGTAGCCATAATAGCCAACCCAAATGTTTATCAGTAGGTGAATGAATAAATGAAATGTTGTGTATACAGGTATACACAACAAAATATTACTCAGCAATAAAAAGGAATGAAGACCCAATACATGCTACAACATGGATGAATCTTGGAAACATTATGGTAAGTGAAAGAAGCCAGTCCCTAAAGGCCATGTATTATATTGAAATAGCCACAATAGGTAAATCCATAGAGACAAAAAGAAGATTAGTAGTTGCCAGGATCAGGGGAGAGGGGGCAAGAGGGAGTGACTGCTTGACGTGATTTCTTTTGGGGAGATGAAAATGTTTTAGAACTATTAGGTTATTAAGTATGAAATGTCTGATTTACTTAAGTGCTTGAGTTTGACAGTTGATATCTCTGGCATTGCACTTCAACCACTTCTTGTTTTATTTTTATTGTGAAGGTACATCCTCAGTCTTTCAAATGCACATTTTGGCTTGTAATTGATTGTCTTTCAAGTTTTTTTAGAGCAATTTTTGTGAAACCATGGATAAGTAAAAAATTCGTGTTATTTTCGAATATGAGTTCCATCATGGAACCAATGCTGCACAGACAGTTCAAAATATGAACAAAGTGTTTGGGAAGGATGTGGCTAATGAACATATAGTATGTCCATGGTTTGAGAAGTTCCATTCTGGTGATTTTAATCTTGAAAATGAGTCACGTGGGCGACCTGAGACCAAGGTGGGTAATGATGAGCTAAAAGTTGTAGTGGAAGCGAATCCATCTTAACCTACGTGTGAATTAGCAGCAAGGTTTGACATGACTATTCCAACAATATTGGACCATTTGAAACAAATGGGCAAAGTAAAGAAGCTGGATAGATGGGTACGGCATAAATTAAACGAGCATCCAAGAGAAATCGTCTCGAAGCTTGCCTTTCTTTGCTGTCACAACATAAAGGTGAATGATTTCTACACTGCATTGTTACGTATGATGAAAAATGGATTCTTTTTGACAATTGCAAGCATTTGGCACATTGGTTGAATAGAGATGAAGTGCCAAAATTCAGTCCAAAAGCAAATATTCATCAAAAAAAGATAATGGTGTCTATTTGGTGGTCCAGCGCTGATGTTATCCACTACAGCTTCATGAAACCTGGTCAGTCAATTACAGCAGATGCCTACTGAAACCAGTTGACAAAATGATGAGGATGCTTGCATTTAAGCAGCAGAAATTGGTCAATAGAGACAGGCCAATCCTCTTGCAAGACAACGTTCGACCACGTGTAGCACAAACAACACTGCTCAAACTACAGAGGCGGGACTTGGAAACTCTCTGTCGTATTCACCATACCTTGCAGCAACTATCACTTTTTCTAGGATTTGGAGCACTTCTTGCAAGGAAAAATACTCAATTCTCATCAAACTGTGGAAAACATCTTTCGTGATTTCATCGCCACTCACTCTCCAGGCGTCTTTGCTGCTGGCATAAACAAGCTACCATTAAGATGGCAAAACTGTGTCAACAGTTTAGGCGCATGCTTTGATTAATCGTACTGCTTCTTGTTTGAGATACAATAAACTAAATTTTTGATTTGAAATCGGACATTTCATATTTAATGACCTAATAGCTAGAAGTGGTGGTTGCACAACATCGTGAATGTACTAAATTCTACTGGATTGTACACTTTTAAATGGTTAATTTTGTGTATGTGAATTTCACCTCAATTTTTAAAAAAGCTCACACTAGCATGTGGTCTCCCCAGGCTTGCATGCATCCAGGGCTCAGCAGTTGCTGCTGGGAACAAGGACAGTATCAAGGGGGACTCTGGCCTCTGGCTGGGCTGAGAAGCAGCCCACGCCCAAGACATGCACCTACTCCTTCTTCCCCACGAGTGCCTTTGCACTCTGCGCCCAGCTCAGCAATGCCTGTCAGCAGCAATGGGCAGAGGAGCTGGGGCAGGTGTGGGATGGAAACAATACTGAATGTGCACAATGATGGTGACAGCGTCCCTGCCCCACTGCCTGCTTTAAAGCTCCAGGGACATGCCATCCCCTCTTCGATAAACTCCAAGCTCTTAGGGTGGCCCACAGGCCTGCCTGGCTGGGGCCTTTGTGACATTTAGGACCTTGCGTGGGGCCTCTTGCCACGGCTCTGCCTGGGCTCTCTCTCCCCTTCAGGCTTTCACACACCCAGTTCTCCCTGGACCCCCCACTTACCCCACCCTCCAACCCCCTCCTCTGCTAACCCCCATTTGAACAGGAAGACACAGCCCACACCAGGTCTTGGGAACAAGTCTCCTTGACAGGGGCTGGATCACATGACAGGCAGAGTAAGAGGTAGTGTGCCCGCAGAGCAAGGCGGTAATCCTCTCAGTCCTTCCCGTCTCTGAAGGTCCAGGGCCAGGCTTTATCCCCCAACCCCAGGCAGGGATGGGCCCCTCTCACCTCCCCAGCCCCCTGCTCACCTGCCTTCCTCATCAGGCTGTGTGTCAGTTAACTGCCCTTCCTCCCTCACAAGGGACCGAGGCCCTGCTCAGCCCTGGGCACTCGGAGGCCCTCAATAACTACTCAAACAGACAAGAAGTGACCCGAGTTAGGGTCCAGCACCACTATGCACTCTGCATTCTGACCGCTCTGAGCCTCAGTTGCCTCAGCTATCACATGGAGCCACCACCCTGTCCTGAGCACCTGCCAGGGGAAGAGGCGATCACACACGTGCATCTGCTGGGAGCAAGTCAGCGGTGTCGCCTCCTTTCCAGAAAGCAGAGAATCCTAGCGGGTTCTCTAGAACCGCCGCCCCAGAGCTTCGCAGTGCAGAGAGGCTGAAAACAGAGACTGTGCGATCCCAGCGCCAGACCCCCTCCACCAACAGCGCGGGTTCCGCCCTCTTCACGGCCCCACCCCGGAGCGCCCCGCCCGGCCGTGTTCCCCGCCCACCCCCTCCCCGACTGTCGCCGCCGGCCCGCACAGGGCCCAGGTGTCCCGGAGCGGCGCGGAGATGCAGCCGCGGCTCTGGCTCCTGCTGGCCGCGCAGCTCGCAGGTGAGGCGGGAGGCTCGCGGGCGCGGGGCGGGACCGAGGTCTGCGCTAGACCCGGTGAGCGCGGAGGACAGCAAGGGCTGTCCCCGCGGGATACAGAGCCCAGAGCCCGGGGCTGCGGGGCACCTGGAAAGCACCTTGGCACGCACGGTCCCTGAGGGTGGAGAAAGAAGCATCCTCACGGAAGCTCATTACCCCGGGGCCCGCAGACCCCAGGACTGAGACCGCCTCCCACCAAAAGCCTGGACGTACGTAGGAGAAGGGGAGGCAGTGAAAGTGGAGGCAGGAGGTCCCGGGAGGGAGGAAACATGTCCTCGCCCAGGGGCCCCACAAGGATGTGCCCCCAGGAAGGTGCTGGGACCCCCTAGTGGCCCTGGCCGAGGGTCCTGTAGACGCATTTTTTATTACTTCCGGGGAAGCGTTCGTAGTCTAATCTGCCTAACACCGGGCTGTTGCCAGTTCTCAGAGCTGTGGCGGGGCACTCCCTCTGGGTTCCCCGTGTTGGGTGTCGTGTAGTGTGGCTCCTGCAAGAAGCAGCATGGAGGTTGGGATGTTGGAGTTGGAAGGGAGGTGGGGGTCTAGATTGTTCCTCTAAGCCCAGCCGGACTGCCATTTGGAAGAAGCCCCCACACCCCAAACTGCCCACTAACCTGTGGTCAATTTGCTCTCATGCCCAAAAAATCCAATGCTGGTTAGCCTGCCAGGGGGCGGCAAGGCCTGCCAGCCCCCCAGCTCTGACCCAGTGAGCTCAACCACATCAGAAGTAGAAACCGGTCCAGGCTATTTGACTCTACTAAAGTTATTGCCAATCGTTCTAGAAACATCAGGTCCCTATAATGGAATTGCTGGGCCACTGGGAAGATCATATGAGACCACGAATGTAGTGAGGCCCGGCCCTGTGTCTGGCACAGAGCAGGGGCTTGGCCACAGTCGGATGTTCAGTCCCCAGAGGCTGAAAGCAGGTGGGCACAAGGGAGAGAGCAGGGTGTGCCTCAGCCGGCAGCGGGAAACGTACACTCGCAGCCCAGGCCTCACCCTTGCAGGAATCACTTCTGGGCTTTCTTGGAAGAGCCTCGGGCATCTGCGTATTTGCAGCCTGACTGTGTGCTCATGAGCACGTAACTGCCATCCGGGAGAGGGTCACCAGCTAGGTTTGAATCAGGATCTACCACATACAGGCTGTGTGACCTTGAACATGTCTTTAACCTTCCCGAGCCTCTATTTCCTATGTGTAAAATGGGTGTAAAACAGTAACTCTCCCACAGGATTTGGTGAGGATTAAATGAGAAAACATATGTGCCTTGCCGGGCACAGCTCAGCAGATATTGACATTATTGATTCTTATTAACGCCCCCAAGAGGTCAGTGACCCAAAACAATGAAACCTCTGCTCCCTGAAAAGGCAGTAGGGTGTCTGGGGAGAACAGAGAAAGCCCAGCAGCTACTTGGGCCCCAGGTACCAATTCATTCTCGATGCAGGCGGAAGCTCAGAGTGGTCTGGGAGTGGAGTCAAGAAGTTGAAGTTCACTTCATCAGTGGTAGAGGAGGCCACTATGGGGTCATGGAGCCTGAGCCACAAGTACAGGCAGGACCATGAACATGGGCCACTCAGTGAGCCGGCCCCTCTTGGGCACAGGCACACCCCCTCTGGCTCCTCTGCCCACCCAGATCCCTGTCCTCTCTGTGCCTTGCCACTCCCAGGTCTCTGCCCTGGCCTGCAAGGCTTCTCTCTGCTCCACAGCCAAAACAAAAGGCTCAGCAGGCCAGACGGGGTTTGTTGGAGCCTATGCAGCCTTGGCTGCAAATGGACCCATTTCCGATCCTTCTTGAGATTTAATTTACTGCCAGTAACAACCCCTGAGATGTGAGACAGTAGTTACCTGTATACAGTGCTCTACAGCTCACAGTGTGCTGTCTTGGACATTTCGTTCTAACCCTCGGAGGCAGGCAGGAAGCCAGCACCAAGCTGCCCTCCTTTCACAAGAGGAGACTGAGGCTCGGTGACTAGCCTGAGGTCCCACAGCTGGGACCCACAGGGCAGAGGCTGGGTTCAAGTCCAGGTCTGTGGGTCCTGCTCTAATTCTTCATGCACAAGCCCCTGCTTGCCAGGTGCTTCTCCTCTGAAACTATAATGAACTCCCAGCTCTGCTTCTGGGGTGACTGTCCTTCTATTGGGGAATGGGGATCCAGTGGCTGATCAGTAGCTGAGTTGGGGAGCGATGGGCTGTACCTGTGCCTACCAGGGAACGAGCTACTTTTGCTTTTTGTCATTGCTGTCCAGAAATGGTGGCTGGTCCTCTTTTAGGCTGACCGGAGCAGCCAGGACTATGCTTGTGATTCTGAGCCCTTCTCCAGCTTGCCCTGGGCTGCTTCGGCAGTTTGGAGCCTCCTGAAGATCTATACGTGAAGTAGCAGCTGGGCAAGGTGAAAGGCAACCAGCTTTCACTTCAGACTTTTAATCCTTGAGCTTAAATCCCAGGCTACCTACTTCCTGTAAGTGGGACTTTGAGCAAGTGACTTCATGCCTCAGTTTCCTCATCTGTGTAATGGGGATAAAAATCTCAAAGCTAGCCGGGTGTGGTGGCATGCACCTGTAGTCCCAACTCCTTGGGAGGTGGAGGCAGGAGGATCGCTTGAGCCCAGGAGGTCAAGGCCGTAGCGTGTTATGGGTACACCTGTGAATAGTCACTGCACTCCAGCCTGGGCAACATAGCAAGACCCTGTATCGACAAAAAAATTTTTTTAAATGTTAACTGTGCTTGGTGGCACATGCTGATCAGCCTAACTACTTGGGAGGCTTAGCTGGGAGGATCACTTGAGCTATGATCAGGCCATTGCACTCCAGGGCAACAGAGACCCTGTCTCTAAAAAAAATAAATGAAAAAACAAAAAGTCTCAAAGGCTGTTTGAGGCTTGGTTGAGACAATTTATGCTACAAAGGACCAGGCATATAACTATTCAATTAACAAATGGCAGCTCTCTCCCCTGAACCTTTTGTAAAGCTGGGCTTACCAAACACCTGCCTTGCAGATGATCTCCTGGGAGGTGAGTACATGAGCTCTGAGTCCAGGAGCCACCACCTGCATTGAACACAGTCCCTAAACCCTGTACCTGGGCAGGTTCTTCTATGGCTTTTCTTTTGAGACTTGACTCACTGTGACTTTGAGGCCACAACTATGGCCAGAAAAATGTGCTGATGTCTGTGCTCCTGGCTTCTCCTAGCTCTCCACGGCAGCTCAGTCCTCCAGCAGACCCCTGGCTCCATACAAGTGCAGACCAACCAAATGGTGACGCTGTCCTGTGAGGCTAAAACCTCACTCAGTAACATGCGCATCTACTGGCTGAGACAGCGCCAGGCCCCGAGCAGTGACAGTCACCACGAGTTCCTAGCCCTCTGGGATTCCACAAAAGGGACAATCCATGGCAAGGATGTGGAACAGGAGAAACTAATTTTGTTTCGGGACACAGCCCGGTTCATCCTCAATCTCACGCGTGTGAAGCCTGCGGACAGCGGCATCTACTTCTGCATGATCATCCGGAGTCCGGAGCTGATCTTCGGGAAGGGAACTCAGCTGAGTGTGGGTAAGAATCAGGCTCAGTGCTGTCCATGGGCATTGAGCACCTATTGTATGCCAGGCACGTGCCAGGCCCTGGGGCTGCCCGACTCTCAGCAAGCCCCACTCTGCGGCTGTGACTAATGGCACTGCTGCTAATAGTAACAGAAAATTCATGTTGAGACCTACCCAGCCCAAGCACCCCCATAGTTATCTCACTTAATGCTGCCAACCGCCCTGGAAGGTGGGTATGTTATGATTCCCATTTCAGATGGGAATCAGATGAGATGGAAAGAGATGAGCCGGAGTCAGAGACAGGCGCCCCACTGCATAGGAACAGGGCAGTGCTGTCCTTCAGGCCGCATCAGTGACACCTGAGGCTGTGACTGGATTAGGCTGAGTCCCCAGGCCTGACGGGGGTATCAGAAATCCCCACGGAGTGTGACACAGGGAAAGAAAGCTCTCGTGCCCTGACATGCCCAGTGAGAGCAGTTCCAGGGGCAGTGGAGGGGCGGGTGCCCTCGTATTCTTTAGAGGGGGGCTACAGCTGAAACCCACACCCAGGGTTGCAGGGAATAAGGAGACTAGACTCCAGGCTCCACTCTGCTGCAAACTTGCCGTGTGCCTTTGGGCAGGTCATTTCCTTCCCTGGGTCTCAGTTTCCTCTTCTGTATTGTGGGGCCACTGATGGGCTCCATGACCCCCTTCAGCCCTGAGAAGCTGCAGTTCCATGAGTTAAGTCAGCAAGCCCAGCAGAAATATATTTCAAGCCACAGATGTAACTTCAAATTTTTTAACAGCCATGTTTTCAAAAAAAAAAAAAAAGAAGCAAGTAAAATTAATTTAAATAATATATTTTATTTAAACCAATGTATTAACAGTATTATCATTTCTACATATAATCAGTGTGAAAATTATTACTGAAATATTTTACATTCCTTTTTCATACTAAGTGTTTGATGTGTATGTTACCAGCACAGCACATCTCGATTCAGACTGGCCACGTTTCACGTGCCCAGCAGCACACACGGTGAGTGGCGACTATATTGGACAGTGGGGACGAAGCTGTCGAGGGTGGGAGGGGACATGGCGAGAATCCCCACAGGCCCTGCCCCAGCTTGGCCCATGGCCGGGGGCCGACTCCCTGCAGGCCTCTCACTGCCCTGCTTCCCACTCACTGGGGGCACTGAGAGTGACAAGGGGACCCCAGAAATTAAATTAGACCACGCAGCATGGGGAGGTGCAGGGGCAGCTGGGGACAGCGGCACAGTTAGGAAGACGCAAACCAGAGTGAGGCCCTGCCACCTCTTGCCAGCCTCAGGCCTTAAATCAGATTCTGGGAAGAAGCCGAGACATCCTCAGGGTGAGAGTCCACTGATTCCTGTATTGAAAAATTGGAGGTTTGGGGGGTGTGGGGTTTTGGTTTAGCTCATTGTTTCTGTCTCTATGAACTCCACACCTTTCCACACATGAGATTTCAGGGCTGAGAAAGTGGCGGGTGAAATAAGCACAACTGGTTCCAGAAGCTCCCCACCACCTCCACTCCCACCCCACACTCACTCCTGGCCTCTGTGTTAACAAACGCAACAGTGCCCGGTGCCCAGGAACGGCAGTGCCCCCCGCAGCGTGCTTGCAGCCAGACTCTCTTCCCAGGGCGGGGTACCCAGGGCCAGAGCCCACCTCTCCCACCACACGGTCAGTGCATTACAGAGGCGGAGCCCAGATGGGAGACAAGGTGTTTGGGGAAAACAGGGCCTGTTTCAGGCCCTTAAGCATATCGTGGGCTCAAGAAATCTGTCCCTCAAAGGAGGACAGAGAGGGAGAGGTTGAACTGGGGCGTCAGGAGGAATCGAGGAGGAACTGGCTCTGGGCAAGAAGAAATTCAGATGAAACAGTCTCCCCACCGAGTCCCACACCAGACCCAGGCCGCTGTGCTGAGCCATGACACTGAGGGCCCAGAGAGATGGCTCCCTTAGGGGCTCACCACTGACCAATCTAGCGACCTCCCTGCCTCCTTGAGTATAAAATCAGGCAAGTAGAACCACTTATAGGGCCGTGAGGATTAGAAGAGAAAACATCCCAGCAGAGGGCCAGGCCCCTTGCACCCTCTGGGAGCCTGGTAGCTGATGTCTGCTTTCCTCTTGCAATAGCTGCCCTCGGCACTCTGATATCCCAGCGCCTGGGGCCAGCCTGAAGTGTTTCAACTTTTTGTCAGAAAACTTTGCTCCTAAGGTAGTGTGGGGGGATGAGAAGCACAGATTCTAGAATCAGTCTTTCGGTGTAGATCCTGCTCTGCAATTTAGCGACTATCTAACTTTGAGCAAATTATTTCAGCCCTCTGAGCCCAGGCTTCCTCATGGATAAAATGGGGACAACGGTGCCCTCCCCAAAAGTTGTTGGGTTCAGTAAACTTATGCTAAAGGGCTTGGCGCTGCCACAAGCACATGGGAGCTTAGCGCGTGTCATTCTAGCTAGTTGGTTCTCCCAGACACGTGAGGCAGGCAAAGCAGGTCGTGTTCTCTCTGCTTTCCAGCAGCTCAGAGAGGGGAGGGGCTCAAGTGTCCACTGTTCATACAAAAGAGGCCAGCTCCAAGGTGACCCCCTGTGTTGGCTGCCCCTCCTGTCCCCGTGACTCTAGAGTTTAAGTTTGAGGCATCTCCCTGTCCCGTCTCTTACCATCCTACAGAGACTCATTTCACTGAGATCTGTTTTCTCAGCCCACAACGGCAAGGGCTGGGCTCGGGGTGCCCCGTGCTCACACCGTCCCGGCACCGCAGAACCGCGGGTGTCTGCTTGCTCTGGGTGCAGACCCTCCACCCTATCCCAGCACTTCAGCAGGGACGCTGGGTTAGAATAAAGGTGGGGAGTGGCCCACCCAGGAGTCAGGACGGGGGCTTGGGGTCCCAGCCCAGCACTTGCTGCTGTGGGGCCTGGGGGGCCAGCCCCTCTCGTCTCTGGCGTTCACCTTCGAAGTTAAAGTTTGAGACCGAAGGGCCCTCTAGCTCTGATATGATATGAGAAGGTAAACAAATCCCAAAATATGAAAACTTTGTGGTATTGTACATGCAGAAAAGGGTACCCACCTCCTTTCTAGGGGCTTCCTCCACTCACTTAGGGACTGGCAAGGTGGGCGGAGGGGCTGGTCGTGCCAAGGGCTTGGGCATCCCGGCTTTGGCTTAAAGTCTTCAGCCTGGTGGAGCCGTGTCTACTGCACATTCTACTGGACACGCTGTCCCTTGTAATTCTCGCAGTAACCCCTAGAGGGAGGGGGGATCATCTCTGTTTCAGCAGATGGAGAAATTGAGGCACAGAAAAGTGCTATGACTTGCCCCAAGCCATACAGTCGTTAATCAGGAGTGCTGGGCTCTGCTCAGGTCTGTGTGGCTCCAGAGCCCCTCTCTCTCCAGGACACCAAGCTGACCCCCAACCCTGAGCCCCAGGTACATCTGAGAATTGGGAAAGTAGATCAAAAATTCTGTTGCTCTGTGACCTTCAAGCTCTGTAGCAGCCCAGGGAACAGTGGTCAGGATGTCACTACCTGGATGTTAGGCACACAGTTTTAAGTTTGTCTCTAAGTCCACCTGCTGTTCACCTGGCTAAGATGAGCATCTTGCTTTCTTTCTGTAGTTGATATTCTTCCCACCACTGCCCAGCCCACCAAGAAGTCCACCCCCAAGAAGAAAGTGTGCCGGCTCCCCAGCCCAGTGACCCGGCAGGGTAAGTTCTCCATCCCCCTGCACCCTCAAAAACAAAGCAGATGTCCTGCCCCCTCCCTCCCTGCCTCCCTCCCTTCCTTCCTTCCTTCCTTTCTCAAGCACTTGTCAAGTGTTGACTCTATAGCCTGTTTTTCTAGCCCTGAGCTTGAATCAGAAAGGGTGCTGAGTATGACAGCAGCTCACAGTCTGGTGGGGGACAGACTCATAAATTGTCACTGGACAAAGTTTAATGGAGCATTTAAAGGAGTTAACGTCCACCCAAACGCTTGCACACGAATGTTCATAGCAACATTAATCATAATAGCCCAAAGTGGAAATAACCCAAATGTCCACCAACTAATGAACAGATTAGCCAAATGTGGTAGATCCATTACAGTGAAATAGTATTTGGCCATAATAAAGAATGAAGTGAAAGAAGTCAGTCACAAAAGATATATACTGCATGATTCCATGTATATGAAATGTCCAGAGTATGACATTCTATACAGACAGAAGTAGATTGGCGGTTGTGTAAGGCTGGAAAGTTGGGGAAGGAATGGGAAGTGACTCTTAATGGGTACAGGGTTTCTTTTTGGGGAAACGAAAATGTTCTAAAATTAAATTACGGGCTGCATGTGGTGGCTCACACCTGTAATCCCAGCACTTTGGGAGGCCAAGGCGGGAGGACTGTGTGAGCTTAGGAGTTTGAGACCAGCCTGGGCTACGTAGTGAGATCCCATTTCTGTAAATTTTTTTAAAAAAATTAGCAGACATGATGGCTCATACCTGTAATCCCAGCTACTCAGGAGGCTGAGGCAGGAGGATCACTTGAACCCAGGAGTTCAAGGCTGCAATGAGCTATGATTGCACCACTGCACTCCAGCCCAGGCAACAGAGTGAGACCCCATCTCTAAAAAAATAAAAAATAAATAAGATTATGGGAATGGTTACACAATCTATGAATATATTAAAAACCATTAAACTGTATACTTTATGTAGGTAAACTTTATGATGTATAAATTATATCTCAACAAAGCTGTTAACAAACAAAAAATCTAACCCAAAGAACCAGCACTTTAAATTTTTCTGGTTCTGATGCCTAATAGAGAATCCAATGCACAGTATGTGCTTGTTAATGAATACATATTTGTTAGCAAATAAACAAATTTGCCTCTCTGTGCTAGAAGCACTAGACACCCCAGCTGGAGTGTGCACACATAGACACACTTCCCTTGAACCCATCTGCCCAAATGTGTTTCTGGAAAAATACTGACCTCAACCCCCGAAAAGTCACTGGTGACAAACAGAAAGTGCCATCTGCTGCTACCCATAGAACAAACCACCAGCAGCCCTATAGGGCTGCCTCATGCTGCCTGGGTTGCTTTGTCTTAAACATATAAAGTACCAAAAAGCATCAGAAGAGGGGCACCTAATGGGATGTAGGAGATGGGGGTGGGAAGCAGTAACAACGAGAATCAGAACCCGTGTACAGACGGGTAGTCTTACAGAACATAAGGGTGGGACAGAGTGACCGTGTTTATATTACTAAGTATTATGAAGTATTATGCCCTGATGACTTCACCTAAAGGATTTCAGGTAGACTACAATAAAAAAAAGATACAAAATGCAAATACAATAGGGCCATTAATATGAGGATGCAGGGCCAGGTGTGGTAGCTCACGCTTGTGATCCCAGCACTTTGGGAGGCCTAGGTGGGAGGATCTCTTGAGGCCAGGAGTTTGAGACAGCCTAGGCAACATAGCAAGACCCAACCCCCCCACCCCAACCCACCCCTGCCGTCTCTACAAAAAAATGAAATAATCAGCCGGGTGCAGTGGTGCTCAGCTGTAGTCCTAGCTACTTGAGAGGCCAAGGTGGGAGGATCACTTGAGCCCAGGAATTCCAGGCTACGGTGAGCTATGATCGTACCACTGCACTCCAGCTTGTGTAAATTATATCTCTGTATACTCCGGCTACAAAGCAAGACCCCGTCTCTCAAGAAAAAAAAAAGGGTAATGATGCAAAAACTCAAAAACTGGTTGTGTGTTGTGGCTCGGGAGGAGCTAGCAAACTCAACAGGAAAAAAGGGAATACTCCAAGTTACATGGCACTCCAACCCCAGTGATATGAAGAAACAACCTGAGCATCGAAGGAAGAAACCTTGATCCTGACACCGAATTCTAAGAGAAGTCTGCTCTGTTCATCCTCATATAAGGACTGCTGAATGATAGTGAATTCAGTAGTATTTTTATAAATGATGGGAAAAAAGGTCTTCAAATTTCTTGCATCATTTCTTATATCAACCCTCAGTAAAATCTCAGGGAAAAATGCAAATCAAACATTAGCAGGTTAAGAATAACCAAGATGTGTTTGAAGGTGGCTGAGTAGAGAGGGGTGGGAGTGGGGGGAGTAGGTGGAGGTTGCAGTGGACGAGGGGGCCGTGGGGCAGGGTAGCCATTGGTAAGTCAGCCAGGTCTAGGTCCAAGTCCCTGTCTACCACTGCCTATCCCGTGAGACCTCGAGCAAGTGTTCCAGCCTCTCTGAAACTCAGTTTCCTCATCTGTAAAATGAGGAAGTTTACCTGGCTAAAAGTAATGCAGGATGGGATTAAATGAGATACTATACACAGGCACTCAGAGCTTGGTGGGGCATCCACACAGCCCTCAAAAGCCTGATATCGTGAATGAAACCCACAGGGCTGCCATGGGGAGGGAGCTTCCTCCTGAGACTTAGGACTGTCCGTCGAGACACCACCAGTAGGTGCTGGGGGACGATCTCTAAACCACTGACTCAGGAGCAGTGTGGTGTGATCCAGACCTCAGGAGACCCTGAGGCTGGAGCAAGATAAGGAAGGCTGGGCTGGGGTGTCACTGGTGTGGCTCTGGCCACCAGCCCCTCGCCCAAGCAGGTTTTTGTGTCCGTTATTGGAAGCAGCAGCTTTTCCTGGAGTCACATTTCGGGTGGGTGACCTGTAGCTGCATTGCTGGCCTGCACAGTGGTCATAACCAAGACTGCTCCTCAGGGAGCCTCCCTGCCCCCAACCCCTCCTCAGACACACTGCTGCCGCACGTGTCAATCCTGCACCCACTTCCATTACTTTTTTTAAAAAAACTTTATTGAGGTATGATTTGCATACCACAAAGTTCACCCATTTTAAGAGTACAAACTCAATGATTTTTAGTAAATTTACCAAGTTATACAACCATCACCACAATCTAGTTTTAGAACAGTCTCATCACCCCAGTAAGATCCCCTATGCTTGTTTACAGTTTGTCTCTGTTCCTACCCCAGGCCCTGGTAGCCGCTGATCCCCTTTCTGTCTCTCCAGAGTGCCTCTTCTGGCCTTTTCACATACATGGGATCACACGATACGTGGGCTTTCATGTTTGGCTTCTTTCACGCAGCACCATGTTTTTGAGGTTCCTCCAGGTTGGGAGAATGTGAAGGAGGCGAGAGGGAGCCCAGCCAAACCCTTAGCGTCCCCCCTTGTCCAACCTCTCTCCCAGTGCAGGAGTCTCCTCTCCACGGCACAGCCATCTAACCTTGGCTTGTTCCCCTCCAGCAATGGTGGGCTCCCTCCCATGGAGCAGCCCACTCCATGCCCTCCAATACCACTCGTGCTGCCAAGGTGGGGCTGGCAGAGCCTTAGAACTTGGAGGACCTGTGTCCATACCCTGGTCCTGCCTTTTAGTAGCCTGGTGACCTTGGGCATGTAATTTAACCTCTTTCAATCTTGTTTTTTCTGAACTGTAAAATGAGAGAGAAAAATATTGGTAATACCTTCCTTCCTCACAAGATGAAAGTTTTCAGTTAGTACTGTACTTGGCACATAATATGCATTTAGTAAACATTATCTCCCTTCCCTGACATCCAGAACTCTTTCTGATTTTGTTAACGTCAAGCCCAAAGCTGCAGCCTTGCCTTCTCACCCATTGGCCCCGGGCTCTACTCCTCAGCTATCCACAAGGGCCCAAAGGGTGTCACAGAAGGATTTGGGGCACTGATAATATAAACTCTGTTTAAATAGCAAATGAGCAGAGGAACAAATAGCCAACTTAGAGAAGAAAAGTCATACTAGTGGCCAATATATGAAAATAGGCCAAAGCTCACAAGTAATCAGGAAATTGAAGTGAAATATAATTTTCCCCCACTCGACTGGCAAAAACTAAAACTTTGATGATATCAAGGGCTGACAGCGCACTGTTGACGGGTGGGAATGGAAATTAGTGCCGCCTTTTTGAAGACATTTGACAGCATTACAGTTTAAAATGGGTAGTTCCCATTCTCAGTATCTGCCTCAGGAAGGCACCTGCCTGACTAAACATACCAGAATGTTCTCTGCAGAGTTATTTGTAAAACACAGGAAGCAGTGAAAATGCCCACCGATGGCTAACTAGTCCATGGTACATCCATGCTATAAAATGTTACTCTGTTGGAAAAATGACATACTGACTCGATTAAGTGAAGGACAAAAAGCTACTGTAAAACAATTTGTATGGTATAATCCATTGTATTTTTTTTTTAAAAAAACTATATGTATCGGCCGGGTGCGGTGGCTCACGCCTGTAATCCTAGCTCTCTCGGAGGCCGAGGCGGGCGGATTGTTTGAGCTCAGGAGTTTGAAACCAGCCTGAGCAAGAGCGAGACCCCGTCTCTACTAAAAATAGAAAGAAATTAGCTGGACAACTAAAAATATATAGAAAAAATTAGCCGGCATGGAGGCTCATGCCTGTAGTCCCAGCTACTTGGGAGGCTGAGGCAGGAGGATCGCTTGAGCCCAGGAGTTTGAGGTTGCTGTGAGCTAGGATGATGCCACGGCACTCTAGCCAGGGTAACACATTGAGACCCCTGTCAAAAAAAAAAAAAAAAAAAACTATATGTATCTATGAAAATTATGTATGTGAAAATGCAGAGAAAGGTACCAGGTTATCAAGGGTGGTTTCTTCTGTGAAGGAGCAAGGATGTTAAGGAACACTCTAACCATGTATTTAAATCTCTCACAATAAAAATATATTCGGATATTTCTTGTGACGTTAAAATAAAAAGTTTTTAATTAATAGTAAAAATCCTATTACCGGGCATGAAAATTGTCTACCTATTTTGAGCATAAATAGCTCCTGAGTTTAATTAACTTTTAAAAATTTGGATGAAACATGACATTTTATAGATAAAATGATCTCAATGATGTTTAAAGTGCATACCAAAAAGACTACAGGGAAATACACCAAAATGCAAACGATGACATTCTCTGGGATGTGGGGCTTCCAGTTGATTTTTCCCCTCCTTGTGTTTGTCTGCATGTCGCGTACGTTCCAGGTTGAACACATGTCACCTGTGTCTTTTCCAGGCCCACCTTGTGGCCCCCTCACCCTCAGCCTGCTGGTGGCCGGTGTCCTGGTTCTGCTCGTGTCCCTGGGCGTGGCCATCCACCTGCACTGTGAGTTGTTCTCTCTTGGGTCATCCCTCTTGGCATCCCTGTTTGCTGTTTAAAGGGTTCCTGGGGTACTTTCTTCTCTAGGGGAGCAGAGCAGATGGCAGCCTGGTGGGAATTAGCCCCAGGGAACCTATGGTGTTTCGGGAGGTGATTCCTGGCCGGTGGTCATGCTGCCAAAGTCAGAGACCAGCCTGTCTCTGGTGTCAGACAAACCTGGGGTTGAACCCAACGCTGGTGCTCCCTGACCTAGTGTCCTTGGCTATGCGCCCTGGTCTCTCTAAGCCTCAGCCACCTCACCAGGAGGCAAAACAACACCTACGTCCCAGAGTTGCTGTTTGTAAAGTCCTGCCCAAAGTGCCCGGCACATGGCACGGGTCAGGAAGTGGAAACTCACATGAGCAGTTGAGATGAAAGCCCAGTGCCCAGAAGAGGTTGCTGGTGAGGTTTGATTTGTGTTCCCAGAAGAGAGAAATCCTCTCCCTCAATGAGGCTGTAGGAAAACTCAGAGACAGCTGCTGCTCTCAGCCACCCCAAAGACGGGCTCCTCTCCTCCCGTGGGCTCCCCAGGCTCTGCACGGCACTGGGCTCAAAATAAAGCTGGGGAGCTGGAGGGGGCACCCGAGCAGCTGCTCCTGGCTCTTCTGCTCACCTGTGCCACCTCAAGCACCTCCCTGCCCCTCTCCGTGCTTCTGTAAAGTGGGGCGAGGGAGGGAGTTGCAGCAGGGGCATGAACTGGATCAGTGGCTCTTAACTTTTGAAGGTCACAGACCCTTTTGAACATATGATGACAATTATGGACCCTCTCCCCAGAGAAATGCACCCAGGCACACACTTTTACATGCCATTGCCACACACAAAGGGATCTGTGTACCCCATTCTAAGAATCCATTAAAGTTCAGTGGTCTGCAAACTCTTTAGATCAATGACCTCATCAGTAACAAATTTAAAAATCGTAAAGACTAAATGCAGTTAGCTGTATTTATTTATTTAATATATTACATATGTTACTAAATGTGCTTCAGAAATAGAAGGTAATAAAGGTTGAGATAAAAATGTAAACAGACATGCTTTTATTTCCTTCCTACCTCTGGATGGGAACTCTCGCTCGATCCCTGAACACACATGCCCTCACCTGAGACCGCCCACCTGTGTGACCTCCAATTTCTGACCTGCCGTGAAGGGCAAGAGGGCATGTTTAAGGCCTGGAGTCGATTAACTGGTTTGAATTCTGGTTTTACCACTTACTAGCTGCATGACTTTGGGCAAGTTATTCAGTAACAACTCACTCTGTGCCTCAGTTTCCCCATTTATAAAATGGAGATTGTAAGAGTAGTATCCAAGTCACAGGTTTGCAGTGAGCATGAAGGGGGTTTAAAATGTGTGAAGTGTGTGGGGCAGAGGCTGGCAGCAGGCAGGTGGATGGAGGTGTTAGCTGCCCCTGGGATCTTCCTCCTCAGTCTCCAGGACTTGGCACCCACGGCCCGTGGCCCACACTGACTGGTGCTCTCGCTTTCCTCTTGCAGGCCGGCAGAGGAGAGCGCGGCTTCGCTTCATAAAACAGTAAGTGCATGGGGCCTCAGAACCGTGATTGTGACGCCGCTCTGGGTGTGGCTCTGGGTTCCTCAGCCCCTGGTGTAGCCCACAGGCTCCAACTACAGCCAGAAGTCAAGGTCAGACTTCCCCTTCTAAAGATCATAGACTGGGCTGGGTGCAGGGTGCACACCTGTAGTCCCAGCTACTCAGGAGGCAGAGGCCGGAGGATCTCTTGAGCCCAGGAGTTGAAATCCAGCCTGGGCAACATAACAAGACCCTGTCTCAAGAAGAAAAAAAAGATCATAGGCTGTATAAATAGATGGAGCGATAGAGTTCAGGAACCTAAGAGATAACCTCAACAAACAAAAATACTGAATAATCACTTGAATGTATTTCAAGTATGCTAAATTAGCTCTCCTGAGGATAGCAACCTTTGCATGCATAGAGGACTATAGGATATCCCAAACCCATCCCACTCATTATTTCATTCGACTTGGTCCTGTGTGAGATAGGGGGATCATCACCTGCATTTTACAGATGGGTGGGAAGACTGCTGGAATTGGATTTGAAGACAAATCGACTCACTCCAAGACCAGCTTTCTCCACCAGCAGTTGTTTCCTTCCCCAGAATCTGTCTTCATCCCATCTGCTGCCCTCAACCCCACCTGGGTCCCAGGAGTTGGCAAAGTCACAGGCTGAGTTACACAGCACAGGGGCTTTTTTTTTTTTTTTTTTTTTTGAGACAGAGTCTCACTCTTTTGCCTGGGCTAGAATGCCGTGGCATCAGCCTAGCTCACAGCAACCTCGAACTCCTGGGCTCAAGCGATCCTCCTGCCTCAGCCTCCCAGGTAGCCAGGACTACAGGCACGCACCCCCATGCCCAGCTAATTTTTTCTACTTTTAGCTGTTTGGCCAATTTCTTTCTATTTATAGTAGAGGCGGGGTCTCGCTCTTGCTCAGGCTGGTCTTGAACTCCTGAGCTCAAACAATTCGCCCACCTCCGCCTCCTAGAGTGCTAGGGTTACAGGCGTGAGCCACCACACCTGGCCTTTTTTTTTTTTTTTTTTTTTAACACAGGTTAGGGACCAGGGACTGTTGGCTACTCCCAGCCTCCAGGACTTGGATTTGATTTTTCTTCCTCAAAATGGAGACTGTTTCACATCTGCCTACTACCTCATTAATTACATTTGATCTTCAGAACAACTGCCTCCATGCAGAAGTGTTTCTGGGGTGGAGGGAAGTACATATCTCTAAATAGAAGAGGGCAACACAGCCTTGCACTCAAGGGCCCTGGCTCCAGCGTGAGGCAGACCTGGTTTGAAACCGGTCTGCTGCTCACCAGCTGTGTGACTGTAGGTGAGTCACTTCGCCTCTCCAAGACTCCCATTTCTCATCTGTTAAATGAGATGACAGTACCAACTTCATGACCTCACACCTGAGAACTTACTAGGGTAATATCTTTAAAGTGTTTGACCCTAGTCCCATGGAGTTGAAGCGCAAGCTCATATAACTTCAATAAATTCAACTCTAAGAGTCCAACAACCATGGAGTATTTTTAAGTACTCTAAAATGATAATTTCTGTATAAATTCTCAGTATTACTTGCTCTACATTATTATATACAGTATGTTTATAGAAAGAGTTGCTTAAACATGCCTGCCATATTTTATGGGCAATTTTCAATGATAATTTTGATTGTGTGCAATTTTCACCTGTGTGTCAGGTTTAGAAACTGCCCCCTACCCAAGAGAAAATGACTTGAGTGTATCAGTTTACAGCTAGACCTCCAGAAAGTTCTGTTCAAAATCTTCCCCATGATGCCCTTTTATGGAGAATGAGTCCGCCTCTGAGTACTGCCTGTGGTCTGTCCCCACCCACCCCTTTATTTAACTTGTTCCCCAGTGATCTGACCCCAGTTTGGGAGGAACTGGATACAGGACCTCATGGTTTGGCAAACCCAGGGGATCTGGGGGTCAGCTGGGGAAGGGAAAGGGCTTGGGGAGGTCGTGGGGTGGGACCCTGAGCCCCCCTCACCCTCTTCATTCCAAGCAGCTCTGCTGTCATCTGTTGTCTGGGTTTACACTTACCTGTAAGATGTCATTTGAACAAAAGGGTTTGCGGCTTAAACAAATGTTTGAAAACCACCTCTGGTTTTGCTGTCACGATCCAGGTGTGGATGAAATAGTCCCTAGGACTCCCAGGTCAGCTGTCCAAATTCAAGTTACAGGTTGAACAGGTAGATGTTCCCCAGTCTCTACCTCTCCTTAGAAAATCGTCTCACTGCAGGCCGATGTCTTCTGGACATTTAACGTGTGTTTGTGAATAGCTTATCTTAGAGTTACCGCAGGAAGTAACACTGTTCAAAGCTAGGGTTCTTTCAGCTGCATTTTTGTTTGTTTTTGTGTTTCTGTTAGCTTTAAATTTTTTTTTTAATTACTCAAATGGGCCCTAAAAACCTACTGCCCCAGCCTACTTGGAGGCCAACCTTTGCATCTTCCTTTCCATTTGCCTCTGTTACAAGAAAGTCAATATAATTTGCCTGAAAATAAGTGATTTCACAACTTGCTGTTGTTTTCAGGTTTTACAAATGAGCTGAGAATACAGTCTTGGTGTCCTGCTACAAAAAGACATTGGTCAGTAATGAGCAAAATCTGGAAAAATGAGAGAAGGGACACATCCGACCATGGAGATTTCACTGGCTGCTGAAGCTGCCTGCTTTTCACTGCTCCACGTCCTTCCTGCGGGCCACAAGCATAGGAGCAACTTGTTAGTTGACCATCCGGAATCTTCCAGACTAGGCTTCAGAGCCCCGAGCGCACTTCGCAGAGCGTGCTGGAGGACGTAGTAGGAAATGCTGCCCATGATACCACTTCCGGCTCCTCTACTCTCCCTGGGCTGGGTGGGACCTTCGGTGTCTTTGCAAGTTGCTTTGCCCTAGTAAGGCAGTGACGTTGGGTCCTGGGGGCTTTCATGGGATGGTGCTGGGGTGGCTCCCGCATGGCCTTGCCGGGCTGGGTCTGACTTTCCTCACAGAGAAGCCAGAACCAGGTTAGACGTGAGGCTTCCCAGGAGGGGCTGCCCAGCTCCCAGCGACCATGATAGTCTCTGAGGAGTTTGCTTCTTTTCCCTCTAGGAAGTTTCTCAGCTTTCACTTCTGCTCTGCCATGGCTTGCATAGTTCTCTTATTTTCTGTGGTTTTTATGAAATGTCTTGTTTATAAAAATAAAGTCCTGGGTTAAGGATACAAATGGCTCCTGTGACATAAAATTGCAAAAGCCCCACTGATGGTGATGCTCCGTGGAAAAAAGATAACAAGGATAAAATTTGTAAGTTCTCATTTTGCCCCACAACGTGCCAGGCTGCAGGTGCCTTGGGGCCGTCTGCTCCTAGCCCACTCCCCAGCTGCCTTCACCGGCGCCTGTTTGTTTCTACTGAGGGTTGAACTCCAGGGACCCCTGACCTCAAGTCAGGCTTACACCAAAGAGAAGATGAGAGGCATTGGAGTCTCTGTCATGTGTCCATTCAGTTTTTAATTATCTCTTAGCCTGACAGAGAAGGAAATTGCAAGCAGAAAACACTTCACTGGAGTGGGGAGTGGAGAGGAGGACCTTGTGCCTTTTGAAAAAGTCCCTGGGTCTTATCTTAACAGCCCCTCTACCCAGGCTTTAGCAGCCTAGGAGCTACTGAGCCAAAAAGACTGCAACCTGGGCTGTATTAACAGAAGCACCACATCCAGGTCAAAGGAGAATCCATCCCTATCTGCTTTTCCTGGCCAGCTCAAAGAAGAGAATTGGTGAACCAAGTTATGTTCGGAGGCCTCTGGCAGCCACAGAATATGAAATATGCTACAGAAAACAGGAAAGGAAAGACGACTCGAGGGGAGGGAGCAATGTGGCCATCTCCTGGCATCTGGGATGCAGCCACAGCAGAACAAGGTGTGGCAGTGGGAGTTAGAAAGGCTTTCTGCCCCTCAGCTCTGAGGACAGGGGCAGGCTGCCTTCCAAGGCTGAGGGGAAGGGCGAAAAGGGCCTGAATCGGCCAGACCAGCCTCCCTCAGCATTCACTTTTAAGGTGGGCTCCTCGTCTAAGCCATGTGATGTCAATGATGAGAGACTAAGGCCCAACTTTGTGCGGCCTGCCCTCCCTGAAGGCTCAAACCCAGTCGACAGCGGAAGTGAGAACTGGCTGAAGGCCCCTGGTGCCACTGCAGGCTCTGATATTTGACATGTCTGTCTGTGGCTGTCTTGTGATTGCATTTACTTGTTTGCAAGTTTGCATGGAGCTAGGGTGGGGACAGGGGTGGTTTGTGCTCCTCCGTCTGTTTTCTGTGCAGCAGGCAGCTGCCACGACAGACACAGCTCTGGCTGCCCAGGGAGATGGAGCAGGCTGGGCTGCCAGCGGCAGGGGCTGCGGTGAGGAGGTCTGTACCCAGCACCTGACTTTGGTTTTGAAGAAGGAACTGAGCTATCACTACATTCTGTAGGGCAATTATGGCAAAATATGCCCCTGAAATTTAATCTAGCTATCTTTTGACTAGCAATTCCACTTGTAGGCATTTATCTTGAAGAAACACATCAAAAAGTGACATGCACAAAGAAACACACATCAAATTTTTCCTTGTAGTGATGCTTATTAGCCAAAAATTGGAAATTATCCAAATGCCCATCAAAAGGGACCAGCCAGATAAATTATGATACAGAACATCCTTATAAGGAGGTTCATGAAGCTGTTAAGTAATGAGCTAAGTCCTTGCATGCTGACATTTAATGAAAGTCACTACATGTGCATATATTCTAAAAAATCTGTGTTGATTATTCTCCCTTTAATACACTACATGGTGCAATACATGGTCACTGTTAAAATTCAAGCACAGATGAAAACAGGCAAAACAAATATATGTTGTTAGAAGTCAGGATACGGTTACCCTTGGTGCAGGGGTGATCTTTAAAAGGGAACATGAGGTTTGAGGGTGGGCATGTCCTGCTTCTCAGCCTGGGAGTTGGTCATATGGGTGTGTTTCATTTGTAAAAAGTCATCAAGCTGCATGCTCATGAGGCATCAACTTTAATATATCGCTATGGATGTTGATACAGATTATACTTCAATAAAGAGATATTTTAAAAATACAAGTACAGAACATTGAAGAAATGTGTAAAACTGATATTTGAAGGTTTCTCTTCTTTATTCTGTACTTTTTTTTTTTTTTTTTTTTTTTTTTTTTTTTTTTTTTGAGGCAGAGTCTTGCTCTGTTGCCTGGGCTAGAGTGCCATGGCATCAGCCTAGCTCACAGCAACCTCAAACTCCTGGGCTCAAGCGATCCTCCTGCCTCAGCCTCCCAAGTAGCTGGGACTACAGGCACGCGCCACCATGCCCGGCTAATTTTTCTATATATTTTTAGTTGTTCAGCTAATTTCTTTCTATTTTTAGTAGAGACGGGATCTCACTCTTGCTCAGGCTGGTCTTGAACTCCCGACCGTGAGCGATCTTCCTACTTCGGCCTCCCAGAATGCTAGGTTTACAGGCATGAGCCACCATGCCCAGCCTCTGCACATATTTTTAAAATATAAAATTGAAATCTTTAGAATATAATACATAAAATAGAAAATATAAAAATCGAATCTCTTAATAGTGTTCTGCAAATTTAATCTTTTTTCTCTAATATATCAAGGCCTCAGGGTATATTTGTTTGTACATGTGTAGAAAAGTGTCTGTAAGGATATACTCCAAGCTGCTAATGGCAGTTACTTTGGGGAATTTCCATTTCTGCCTTGCACAGTTCTACGTTGTGTGAAGTTTTACAATAATCATGTAATACTTTCATAGTCAGGGGAAAAAAACAAAAGTTCGTAAAAACAAAAAAAGGAACTTCTTTTCAAAAGAGCTCTGGTCATTGTTATAGTGAAAAATTGAAATCAACAAAAATATCCATAAATGAGAAATTTGTTCATAAATGATGAGTTTAAAAATCCATACCATGGAGATCATTGTGAGGCATGTCTGCGGTGTCCAGACAGCATGACCCAACTCTCTCTGCCAGCTGTACAACCTTGGGCGAGCTACATAAACTCTGTGAGCCTGGGTTCTCTTCTCTGAAAGGGGAGCATCTGTCGCCTCTCCCTTTCTGTCTTGCATGAGCCTTAAATGACCCCGCGTAGAAGGGTCTGGGAGCAGTGCTGGTGTTCTCCCCCTTCCTCTGCAGGTGTGGCGCCCACCAGCCCTGTTCAAAGGAGGGAGGGGGCTCCCACACCGCCCCTCCCTTTCATCCTTACTCATCCCCACCCCCACCCTGCAGCTTGTGTCTCTACCTGTAGGAAGTGGGCAACTTGTTTTCAGAAAGTGATCCCCAGCCCACACGGGCTGCGAAGCTGATCCGAATCTAGCACCCAGTCAAAGGGAAAGACAGAAAGAGCCCATCTTCAGAGGTCTTCCCAGGTTGTGGAGGACAAAAGAGATTTCCTCTGTCACTTCTTGGGAAACCTCCTTCGATGCGTCACTGACACTCCTCGGGACTGTGAGTCACTGGTTCCTGGAGTCCTCACGGCTGTGTAACTCAGCGCATCAGGAAACCATGTTCCCGGCTCCGCGTCAGTTTGAGATTCACAGAAATATGCATGACACGTGTGATCCTGTGGAGCTGAAAGCCGAGGGACTTCATTGCCTGCACAGTGTTGTTGGCTCTCCTGGATAGTACTTTTTCCCATCAATTTATTGCCTTTCACATTCGAGGACGTATTTTAGAGCTTAGCTTAGACTTCTAAATTTGAAAGGAAACCATCTCCATTTCTTTTCATGCATTTTTAATTGTAGATCATCTCCGTCCCATCCCTCATTTATGACTGAACTAATCCCCCCACCCCTCTCTCTTCGGCACTTAGTTCTCTTCTTGAGGCTTTTTTGTGTGTGTGCGTGGTGACAGGGTCTCGCTCTGTTCCCCAGGCTAGAGTGCTCACTGCAGGCTCAAAGTCCTGGGCTCAAGTGATTCTCCTGCTTCAGCCTCCCAAGTAGGTGGTATTAGGTCCAGAGGGGAGAGAGAGAGAAAGAGAGACACAGAGCCTCAGGTGTAGCAAAATGCCATTTTTTTTGAGCATCTGAGTGCAGATGGGAGGAGACCAAAAAAGCATCCACCCTGAGGAAGGGGAAAGCCATGGGTTTTATAGAGGGTTTCTGGGGGTGCGGGGAGTACCTGGGCCAGAACAGCCACTGTAATAAAGTTTTTTCAAATAACCAATTTCTGGGACCCCTGCGTCAGTCTCATCCTGCAGAGATAAGGGACGGGGGTAGTTTCGTCCTTATTAGGGATCCCTGATAGGAATGCCAGCGTCTACAGCCATCTGTTAGATTTACAACCTCCGGGAAGTCTCCAGACTCCTGCGGCTATTGTTTTACAAGCCTAAATTTTCCATTAACTGCATTGTGTCCTATCCATACTTTTTGAGTTCCCACTTGGAACAAACCTAACAGGTGGGACAACAGGCACACACCACCATGCCTGGTTAATTTTTCTATTTTTTATTTTTTTGTAGAGGCGTGGTGTCACTATGTTGCTCAGGCTGGTCTCAAATTCCTGGCCTCAAGCAATCCTCCTGCCTCTGCCTCCCAAAGTGCTGGGATTACAGGCTTGAACCACCACACCTGGCCCTTAGGCTTCTTGATGCCAGTTCAAATATTAATGTATCTATGAGGGGCACCTTCTGTGTGCCCAGCTGGCCCTGTGCTGTGACTGCGGGTGCAGCATGGCCAGGACACATACAGCCAGGTCCCCAAGGCTCAGTCTTTCTTACAGCCTGGAGGCCTCAATTCCTTCCATGCCAGCTGGGGCCATGGCCTGTGGGAGCCCTCTGGCTCTTTCCTGTCCCCTGCACAATGATCAGCATTCCTGAGCCTTGAGACCAGAACCTAAATGAATGAATGCACAAAGAGAAAGGCTCAGCTAGGAGGTCCTCAGATCCCCACAAGCAAGCTCTACTTCTGACGCTGGGGAACCTG